ATCCCACAGATTAGGCCTCCTCTGGATTCCATCAACTAACCAGTGTCGTTTGTCGACCCCCCGGGGGAGGGCCTTCTCTGTGGCTGCTCCGGCCTCTGGAACCATCTCCCCGTGGAGATTCGGACCCTCGCCACCCTTCAGGCTTTCCGCAAAGCCGTTAAAACCTGGCTGTTCCGGCAGGCCTGGGGCTGATGAGTTCCCATCCCCACTCGAATTGTTGCGGCTGTTGACGAGTTTTTAAGCTGTTTGTATTTGTCTGTCTTTTCATTTCTTATATTTCCCCTAAAGAAGCTAAATTGGTCTGGGATTTCAGAATTCAAACAGATAGGCACCTGCCACATAATATCCCAGACTTAACAACTGTCAATCAAAAAAAAAGTCTGGATAATGGATGACGCAATACCTGGAGACAGCAGAACAGAAGAGAAAGAACTGGAGAAGATAACAGGATACAAAGACCTGCAAACAGAAATAGAACAACTGTGGCAAAAGAAAGCAAAAGTAATACCAATAGTAACATGGGCCATAGGTGCAATCCCAAAACAATGGAAGGACTACTTGAACACCATTGGCATTGACAAAATCACCATTAATCAATTGCCAAAGGCAGCTTTGATTGGAACAGCTTATATCCTGTGATTATACCTCAAACACCATCAAACTTCTGCTTATCCCAGGTTCTTGGAAAGGACTTGATAGATGGACAAAACTGCCAAATCAAATCTGAACATCAGCTGACTGTTCAATAATAATAATAATAATAATAAAACCCCAAGAACTGAGATGTTACTATTTTTTAAAGGAGCAAATTAGATATACACATTATCTTACATGGCATGGATAAGTTGCTTGAATGAGATAAATAATTTTCCCTTTTGCCTTTTTAATGTTGCTATCTAGCCATACAATAGTATATAAAATTTAATTGCAATGGATTTGATCTTGTCCTTTTTTGGGGGACGGGAAACAATTATTGGGGGGGGGGGGAAATCTGCCTAATAGCCTCAAACAATGTTAGGATTCATGTCTGTAACTGTTTCGCCCTGGGAATATAACTGAAGAAGCTCAAAATTATAGCTTCTTTGAATTTGGCCTTTGAAAGCAATTGAAATACAGCACATCTGGTCCTTCCTGGAATTCTCACAGGGACACTTTTCCCATGTTTTAACTAACCACGGCAGATAAGAGCTGTCATCTTAATGTCATGCTAGTTCAGGGAAATCGTTTGTTCTTACTTCAGATAGGGCCAGCTCATCAGTCAGAAGAGTTGCTTAACCTTAGGCAGATACAGCTTTCACCCAGCCCTCTTCCCATGTGCTTTGAGATAAAGACATTAGTATGTGTAGCTGATGGCAACACCAGCTCTGAGTATCCTGTCGTTGGATGCCAAAGGTGTTCTGCAGCTTTCTTCACTGTGTGATGCGGGGGGGGGGGGCATTTCCCACAAGTTAAATGTATTTAGAGATGCCTAGCCATGGAATGTTAGCTTCAGGAAGGGAAAGAAGAAATTAAATAAAAATTGCAGCAAGTGTTAGAAGTATAACAAAGTTTCTTGAAGCTAGTACATTTGCCTTATTCTAAAACTAAAACAATTGTCCTTTTAATCATTAGAAAAGAAATGCAAATAACCAGATAAAGGTACTGTCATGTCTTCATATTTATCAGAGTAGAATTGCACTACATAAAACTTTGCTACTATAAACCTGTATCTAGGATACAGTCAAGGTCAGCACCAGAACTCAGGATGACTGGTCTGCCAAAGATTCAGAAAGCACAGTGCCAACCCTAATATTGTCGTTATGGCTTCAGTCTATTGTCATTGTGTCCTCATTTTGTTTCTCAACCACTTGTCCTGCTCCTGCATATAGTTCCTCACTTCTTCCCCTTTCTCAGGATATGTGTCACCATTGGAACATGATGCTCATAAAGGTAAGCTAAAGTTTACCTTTAATAGATGACAGGTAACCAGGTCCAATTGTACAGTACCTAATGTTCAGTGCCCAGTATTGAGGAACATTGAACTGTCTAAGAAAATGTTATATAGACTGAAATGTTATATAGACTGAAATTGGATTATGTTTTCTTTCACATATACAGTATTCTCTGTAGGGACAAATGGTAAGTGACTGACAACAGTAAAGCTTGATGCAGGTAGACACTCACTAGAACAGGATGAGCCAATCAGCATCAGGTGGCTGTCCAGTTAGATGATATTTGATGTATTTGAGAAAAAGGTCTATCCTACAACATAATCTTTAAAATTTCTATGGGCCAGAGACTGACTGACTGACTGACTGACTGACTGACTGACTCTCTCTCTCTCTCTCTCTCTCTCTCTCTCTCTCTCTCTCCCTCCCTCCCTCCCTCCCTCTCTCTCTCCCCAACCCCAACAACATAGGGTATTGTTGTGGGGGAATAGAGGAGGAGGAGTAAGGTCTGTTGGATATTAAGAGCCAGTTTGGTCTAGTGGTTAAAGCAGTGGGAGTTTAGTTCTGTCTTAGCCGTGAAAGCTGTCTGGGTGACCTTGGGTCCATCACTCATTCTCAGCCCAACTCACCTCACAGGGTTTATGTTATAGGAACAATAGGAGAAAATTATGTTAGATATGTTCAAAACCTACAGTTATTTGTAAAAATGATAAAGGCAGGATACAAATAAATATACAAACAAACAAAAATGTGTTTGTTGTCTATTTATAAAAATAATGAGGCAGGATATAAAATTATATAAATTTATCTTACATGGGAAAAGACCCGAATACAAAAAAATCAGCATACCTACACCCATGAAAATCTCTGAAAACAAACACACACACACATACACACACACTGTGTATGTGTGTGTGTATGTATGTATGTATGCGTGTATGCATGTATGCGTGTATGTGTGTGTGTACATACATACATACATACATACATANCAACTCCCAGAATTCTCCAGCTAGCTCTTCTGGCTGGAGAACTCTGGGAGTTGAAGTCCACAAGTCTTAAAGTTGCCAAGTTTGGGAACCATTGCACTATTGAGTCTACATTTGAACAATGCTTCCAGTTCTGGACACCACGATTAAAAAAAAACATGCATAAAAGAGCAACGAAGATAATAAAGGGTCTGGCGGCTAAATTGCATGATAAAGGGTTATGGGAATTAGGTATGTTTTCTTAATGAAGAGAAGGCTTAGCGGAGATATTATTGCAGTCTTCCAATACTTGAAAGGCTATCACTGGATGGGGGTGGGGGCATCAATTTATTCTCCAAATCTCCTGATGGTAGGACAAGAAGCAATGAGGGAAATCTAGCCTGGAAATAAGGAGGAATTTCCTGACAGTGAGAATGATTAATCAGTGGGACAGCTTGCTTCCCAAAGTTGTGGGTACTCCAGCACTGAAGGTTTTAAAGAAAAAATTGGACAACCATTCATCAGGATGGAAAAGAACTCCTGTCTTGGGCATGGGATTGGACTAGAATACTTCCATGGTCCTTTCCATCTTTATGGTTCTAGGAATCCATTTATTTTTCTTGGAGCTAGGATATATATTAATGACAGGGGTGTGTTGTAGGTTGCACAGAATTTTTGAACAGGTATTTTTGGGAATGGATTCCAGTAAGTAACTGGGTGGGCAAAAGCAAATCACAAATGTACTTAAATTTATATTTGAATGTAATTAAATTTTGGAAGAAACCCATTGGAAGCCATATGTGAACCTAGTGTAGTGTTATTTATGCATTACGGTGCACAGTCACTCAATTTATATAGCTGTGCTTTCCTGAGCTATGGTTATATACAGGTAGACTTTCTGCATACTTACCTGAATATGCCTTTATGTATCAAGTCCAATGTATGTGACAAGGCTGGGGAATATCCCTGAACATTTAACATTCTACATCCTTTGAGACATTCTTCCATGTTTTTTGCTGATCCTGCTTCTTCCTCTTCCCTTAAACATTTCTGGGGCTTTCTCAGAAGATCTTGTTTAGTTGTCATCTTAGATGCAATCTGAATACTATATATTCAAGGTGAGCTGCTCAGTATACAAATGAAAGCAGATTCTAAAAGCAGTGGTTAGGGTGCAGTACTGCAGGCTAGTTTTGCTGACTGCCAGCTACCAGCAGTTGGCAGTTCAAATCTCACCAGTTCAAGGTTGTCTCAGCCTACCATCCTTCTGAGGTGGGTAAAATGAGGACCCAGATTGTTGGGGAAAATATGCTGGCTCTGTCAACCGCTTAGAGAGGCTGTAAAGCACTGTGAAGCAGTATAAGTGTGATTGCTATTGATAATATGAGCTGTGAGATGAACACATTTAAATTCACAGCTCAGAAGGTCAGGTTTGCCACAACCTAGGTACCTAAGCCAGGGGTGGGATTCTACTAGTTTGGACCGGTTCTGTTGAACTGATAGCTCCAACGATCAGCTGGAACTGCCACCTGCCCCTCCTCTATCCTGTCCTTTATTTCCTGCTTTCTAGCTCAACTCAATCACGTTGGACATCTGACTTCCCACCCCCCAATCTGTTTTAATTAACATTGCTGACTTGGAAGGTAATCAGCTGGGCTTCTAAATGCCCCATTTTTAACACTGCAACCAGTTGTTAAACCGGCAGCATCCCACCACTGGACCTAACCTGCATAGGTACAGTTTCCCCTTGTGAAATTTCACTGGTCTTTCAGCATTTGAATGCAGGGACAGCATCAAAGTATGAAAACCAAATCAAGAATTCCAGCCATAGTAGTAAACTCATTTTCTTTGTTAATTTGGTTTTAATGCTGATACTATTTAGAAAAACCGCTCCCAGAAACTGGTTAGCACTACTTTTCCTCTCCCACAAGAACAAAGTAGATTTGTTGTATTTTACGGTGACAGCCAGGCCGTATCACTTGAGCCTTATTGCCCTTGATAGCTACCTTTAGGGAATGTCTTTTCCAATTGTTTATTCTTAAAGGCTCCCTGTCAGCCCCAAATGCGAAAGACAAAGAGAAATTCTGAAAAATGCGGGTATGGGTGCCACACTGGACTCTATTGATGCTTTTAAAAATCTTATTGGGAATCTTTCTGTCTATGATAACTGAAGAATGAAATGCTTTTCCATTCTATTCTGACAAATGTTTCTTTAGTATCAGAGGAGGAGAGGAGGAGTTTATCTTGTTCTAAACTCATGCTATAAAAAGCATCAGGAAAGAAAGATAGCTATAGAGAAGGATAAGTTTCTTTTTCTTATTATTATGAAAACACTCCTTGGTAGAGCTGAAAACTGCCTTGGGGAAGACTATTACAACCTTCAGGGATTTTTTTACATTATTATTTGAAGATGTTATGTATTACTCTGGTCATCTACTACTTTCCATTAGAAGTATCAAAGTGATTGGTATTAGAAGTTTTTATTGCATATTATATATAATAAAAGGCAAGAAGATAAAGGGAAAATAAAACCATAAGTAATACTTAATATATAAATTGTTAGTGGGATATCTAAAATGCTATGTAGGTGATTCTTCAAAGGTTTTTCATTTGTAAGTTTGTAAAGGTAATATACCAATTCCTCCTGGATACATAGCCTTGAGACTAAAAGAATTATCAGCCTTATTTTAGAGAGGCAGACAGGTGAGGGAGGAGATCTCGACAACACTTGCAGGAATTTCTTAATATTTTCTTATTAAACTATAAAGGTTAGCGGATTCCTAAATAGAGTAGAGGTGGTATAATTTCTGTAGGATGCCCATATCATAAAGGATTTTACTGATAATATCATTTCCAGGTCCATCTGATTCTCCTTGTTTCTTTCTGTCCCATCAGAACCTGCAGAGGGGCCCACTCTGGGCTCCTTCTGTTAAACAATGCCATCCTGTTGCACCCAACAGTTGGACCTTCTCTGTGGGATCACCTGCCCTATGGAAGAACATCCCACTGAAAATACAAAAATCTGATAGCCTTTCATAAATCATTGAGCACCTGGCTAGACCTTCAGATGTTTGGGTCAGAGGATGACATGAGCCAGTGATGGCTAACCTTTTCTGGGCCAAATGCCCAAAGCACTTGCATGTCCGAGTCCACAAAATGCAATGCACATGCGCCTCCCATGCATACACCCTGCTCCCATGTATGTTCCCCCTTCACACTCCCCCACACATGCATCCCCCTGCATACACCCTGCCCTCTGAAGAAGTGCGTGCATCCCCCTGTGCATGCACGGAAGAGACCCCAAGCCCAGCTGGCTGGCAGGAGGCTTTTGCACATGCGCAGCAGAGCTGAACTGGGGTGATGGCTCGCATGCCCACAGAGAGGGCACTGCGTGCTACCTGTGGCACGCGTACCATAGGTTCACCATCACGGACATGAGCTATATTGAACAAAGTTTAATTTTATAAATTGGGATTATTATTTGAAAGTTGGACGCTATAGTTTGTATTGTTGCTTTAATTTTGTACACACCTAGAGATGGGCAGCCATGCTAATAATTTAAATTTTAAAAAACAGTTAACATTATGTTTCACAATATAAAATCTAGAAAATGAGTGATGGTTTTTTNCTAAACCTAAACCTAAACCTAAAAGGAGGAGATGGAAAAAGGGGCCACGTCGAGGCCAGAGGGCACAGGTGAGATTCCCGAGCGGGAGGCGGCGGAGGTGGAACCCCAGTCAGCTCAGAGAAGAACCTGCCGTGGACAGGCTGACCTTGGCGCTCGGAGGAAGACATTGACATGGAAAGCGAGGCCTTGGCCCTCGTGCCCCGAAGGGTCCCCAGAGAGAGGGCGACCTCGACAGTCCCTGGGAGTCAGGCAACGGGAGGAGGAGCCCCTAGAGGCAGCCACGGTCGCCCAAGGGCCTGGAACCAGAGATTGGCACCCCAAAGCGACTATCGAGCCAACACGGAGGGCCGAGCCACGAGACCGCCAAGCCACGGCTGTTGAGCGAGCAGTTGGCTTGTCTGGAGAGCGTTTTGCAGGGCAAATGCTTCGTGATCCAGTGGACCAAGCCACTGCTACAGCTCAGCCCGCCCCAGCCCTCCTGGTCCCTGCCCTGCCCCCAGCCCGAGCCGCCCTGGTGACCAGAGGTGCTCGTGGGTCACTCCGGATACAGGGGAAATTCAACGGGGACCTGAATCAGTTGTGCCCGTTGCTCCTCCGCATATATGATTTCATGGCAACATACGCAGACGTTCTCCCCAACGACGAGGCCAAGGTATACTGCGTAGTAAGAGTCCTGTGCGGGGAGGCTGCCGACTGGGCCGTGACACTGTACGAGGAGCAGGCCAAGGAGCTGCATGACTTCGAGGCGTTCATGGCCACCCTGGAACAGCGCTTCAAGGACCCCCTGGCCGATCGGAAGCTCATGATAAAACTGCAAACCATCAGGCAGGGTGGCCGAAAAGCCCTCGCTTACGTCCAGGAGTTCCGCTCTCTACACGATCAGCTCAGGTGGAAGGGCGAAGAAATGCTCCTCGAGTATTTCCAGCAAGGCTTGGACCCAGAAGTGCTTTTCGTCTGCCTGCGCAGAGGTCCGGCCAAGACCCTCCAGGAGTGGTATCTCCTAGCCCAAACGGTGGACTTTGACCTGGCTGAGATGTACAACCGACAGGACCGGACCCCAGGACTGGGCAGGCAGGGACCCAGCTTCAGGCAACGCCCGATCAGGTGCGTCCGGTGTATGGAGCAGGGCCATGGGCTGAGCGACTGCCCTCGCCTGCCATCGACCCCCAAAACCCTGAGGCTAGGGAAACCGTCTGCCAAACGCAATACAGCGGCATGCGAAACTCCACCATCAAGCGAAGACGAGGAAACTGCGACGGAAGACGAGGGGTCAAGTGTGGAAAGCGACAGCTGATCGCAACTTTTTCTAAGGGCGGCTGAACATTATTCTTACACCTTTGCTGGGGGGGGGACCGAAGGGGAAGGGGTGGAGGAGCCCAGAGGTCACTGTAGCGGCCGGAGACTGGAATTCAAGGACAACGGCCCAGGGAGGAATGTAGCCACATACCAAGGAGGACCGTTCCAGCAACATCAACACCTAGTTTGATTGGACCACCGAGGACTAATGGGCGGGAGGGGAGAGGATGCTGGCAAGGGGGGGGGAATTCTTTTGGGGAACTTGGTGTGGGAACCTCAGATCTGGCTTTTCTCTACTGTATGCTCGGCCTTTAGTAAACTATACCTTTTGGCCCAATGGAGTCCAGGATGGTTCTTACTTAAAGGTTGTATCTGATTCGGAGCCGACTATCATGCCCAAGGCAGAACTAGAACTCACCGCCTCCTGGCGATTGGCTCAAGGTCCCCCAGCCAGCTAAGGCAGGACATAAAGTCCCAGCCTCCTGCTTTCTAGCCAGGTGCCTTAACTGCTGGGCCAAACTGGCTCTCATCTGGAGTCTTCCTTGGTCCCAATTGGGCAGGTCTATCAGAGGAAAGTGGAGATGAGGTGGAGGGAGGAGGGATTGGAGATGGAGATGGAGAGGGAGATAGTCCTGGAATTGGAGATGGGATGGAGATGAGATGGCCGTGGAGAGGAAAGTGGAGATGGGATGGAGGCAGAGGTGGAAGTGGAGGAAATGGAGGTGGAGGTGGAGGTTGGAGGTCTTGGAGATGGGATGGAGGTGGAAGTGGAGGAGGTGGAGATGGGATGGAGATGAGATGGTCTTGGAGATGAAAGTGAAGATGGGATGGAGGTGAAAGTGGAAATGGAGGAGATGCAGGTCAAGATGGAGGTTGTGGTGGAGATGAAAGTGGAGATGGATGGAGATGTAGGTGGAGATGGAGATAATCTTGGAATTGGAGATGGGATGGAGGCAGAGGTGGAAGTGGAGGAGATGGAGGTGGAGGTGAGATGGTCTTGGAGATGGGTTGGAGGTGGAAGTGGAGGAGGGGGAGATGGGATGGAGATGAGAGGGTCTTGGAGATGAAAGTGGAGATGGGATGGAGGCGGAAGTGGAGGAGATGGAGGTCGAGATGGAGATTGTGGTGGAGATGAAAGGGGAGATGGATGGAGGTGGAGATGGAGATGGAGATAGTCTTTCAGATAGAATTGGAGATGGCGATGAGATGGAGATAGTCTTGGAATTGGAGATGGGATGGAGGCGGAGGTGGAAGTGGAGGAGATGCAGGTCAAGATGGAGGTTGTGGTGGAGATGGATGGAGATGGAGGCGAAGATGGAGATTAGGGTGGAGATGGAGATAGTCTTTCAGATGGAATTGGAGATGGAGGTAGGTAGGTAGGTAGGTAGGTAGGTAG